TTTTTTTGTTTTTTCCTTCCCTTTTCGCAATTTATTTTTGCTGCTGCGTTCAGGACCATCGCGGTTTCCCAGTCAGCAGCGCGTGGCAGTCTCACCCTGAAGGAGGAAACTTTTGCTTTTTCTTTTTATACAAAAATTAGGATATTTATATATATATATATACACACACACTCACACACACACACAGAATAAGCTTTTTTTTTTTTTTCCCCTCTCCTTTTTTCTAAAGAGCTGACCGGCAGAAAAATGTGAAACCACTTCCCTGCAGGTTCGGAAAAGCTTGTGCTTGTGGGTATTTTTTTTAAGATGAGATCCAGAATATCTTTTCTTTTTTTTTTTTTTTTAAAAAAGGCTTTACTCCCTCAAGAAAAAGAAAAAAGATTTACAAACAAAATAACAGCCTGTATCAACTCTCCAGAAGAGAGATGGTGTGACAATATTAATCCAAACATCACGCTATTTAATTCCCCAATAAAACATTGGAAAAAAAGGAGTTTTTTTTTTTTTTTTAAAAAAGGCTTTTCTCCCTCAAGAAAAAGAAAAAAGATTTACAAACAAAATAACAGCCTGTATCAACTCTCCAGAAGAGAGATGGTGTGACAATATTAATCCAAACATCACGCTATTTAATTCCCCAATAAAACATTGGAAAAAAAGGAGCCAACAGTATCTGCACTAACACTTTGCTACATATAAAATCTCCAGCTAATATGAAGCTTATGGTACCAACCTCTAAAACAGTTAAGATATATACACATATTTTGGGGGGGTATATTAACAAACAGAATATTACAAAATATTAAAGAAGGCAACTCTTCCGTCATTTGCATTCTTGGTTTTTTTTTGTGTTTTTCACTTGAAGTTGGCGTAGTCCGAGAAGGCGTCGATATATTCCTGCACCACCTTGTAGCAGAATTCGTACTGTTCCTGCGGGGAGCGGAGAGAGCACAGCGTTAGACAGAGGACAATAACAGCGGAGAGATGATTTCGCGCTTCGAGGTCTGCAGCAAGCTGGGGTCGGGCAAAACCCCGGCGGCTGCTTTCCGCTTCACCTCAAAGCCATTTTTCACAAAGCTCTTTGGGTTTCACGGCTGAAAAAGAGGCGAAGCAGCCCCGTCCCCGCGTTTACGGCGACACCGAGATCACGGGTCGGCTTCGGCGAGCGGGGCGGGAACGGACCCCACCCCGCGCAGCTCCGAGCCGAGGGCTTGCTGCGGCGCAGCTTGGCTTTTGAACATCCCAAACCTGCCTTACGGCCCTCGTTACGGGGCGGTCCAGCCTCCTGCAGACTCAGCAGATGAAAAAAGCAAGGTATCCCTTTTCTAACTCTGCTTCCCCTTCCTCTCTGGGCCAGCCGAGGTCTTAATTGGACCCCAAAGGGAAGGACTTCTTTCAAAGTCGCGTCCTTGCAAACCTCTCTCGCAAAACCTCATCTAGCACTGGCTACTCCTTCCCTCCCTGCCAAGGCCGTGCCCTGCTCCGCGACAAGTTTCTGGGACAAGTTTCCAGGCTTGTGAAGCCCACAAACACGTGGCGTGTGGATGAAGAAGTCTCTAAGGAGGCTCCTACAGCTCGTAGGGGAGTGTCAACACTCAACAGGATGGTTGATGCCTTCACAGCCAGCCAAGCTTCACCCCTTCGGAGAGAGGGAATTACAGAGGCTTCCTCATTGGAGGAAGAAATACCTCCCGCCCTGTCTCCATCCCCTACTCTTCCCTGGAGACAATCTTAACCTGAAGAAGTCCTCCCTCAAAACCTGAATGGAAGCGAGTTCAGAGCCCGTTCCCGCTGAGCTCTCCGGAGACGTGCGGGGAGCGTGCGCTGCAGGCAGCGCGCTTACCAGTGTCTGCACCATATGTGGCCTCTGCAGTCTTAAACTCTTCACCGTCTGAAAGACATCGAGAATCCCTTCTGCTTTCACCCTCTCCAGGACAGTGCTCAGCGCGCAGAAGGTTCCTGTTCTTCCTGCTCCAGCACTGGCAAAGAGAAAGCAGAACGTAAAGGGAATCGTCCATACTGACCGCACTGGTATCACTCAAGACGCGACCCACAGCGGAAACGCGGAAGGATAGGAGGAGTTGGCTGCCCTGTCCCAGCTTCTCCTAGTTTAGATGTCACTTGTATGTGCTTTGACTTCTTGTAAAACATCTCCGACAGACTCACCACCAGCAGACACACTGTTTTCCTCCTTGCCCTCGCAGACCCTGCCCGAGGCAGACCAAGCAGCCCAGGTTTGCAGGTATTTTTATCTCCAAACACAACACAAGCTGGATAGTCTTAGGCTAGTCCCCCAGTTTCTCTCCACCAAATACAGCGTTGAGCAGGAGAACGGAAACCCGCACCTCTGCAGCCTGAAGCCGTTCCTGAACCTCTCCCGTGAGGTTGAGACGTAGGGGCAGGAGGAGGAAAACCTCATACTGCTTCTGCCTCTACTCTTCCTGCTCAGCTTGAGCCTTTCAAGGGATTTTTTAGTCACTCAAGCTCATTTCAGTGTTAGTCCCCTCGCAGCAGCATCCGGCTCCGTTCTGCCAGGGCTTTACCTGCAGTGCACAGTGATCGGGTGGTTGCCAGACTGCTGCTGCTGCTTCTGCACGGCCGCGATGATGTTGATCATCCCTTTGCCATCACTGGGGATCCCAACTTCTGGCCAGCCATGGAAATGAAACTGTCGAATCTGTCGGCTCTTGTTTTCCTGGCGGAAGAACACAGCTTGAGCTCAGTAAGTCCATCGGAGGCCTGGTCCAGACCTAAAAACCTGCTTTCTCAGGGTCTCATGGAAACTGTGTGGTTAGGAAGCACCCATGAAGTGGTTCGGGGAGAGGCTGGAAGCTGCCAGCAAGGCAGGTGGAGATACCTGCCTAGCAGGCACATCCCTGCTGCTGACCATCCTTTCCCAGCCTCTGAACGGCTACTTTTATGCCTTGTGCCAGCAACCTGCATATTTTGATCGTGATGGGGATGAAGATGAGAGAGGCATCAGGAGGATGCACATCTAAGGGGAGAAAGTGCTCGAGAGAACTGCCAAAACCAATGGATTTTCCAAGGGACAGAGCCGAGGGGAGAAATGACACTAGGTGATGAGCATCTACTACTGAAAAGGAAAGGAAAAGGAGGAACCAGGCCAGTGGGTTAAAACAGATGTCCAAGAGGAATACAGGCAAAGCATCCTTGCGGGGAGGGGTCGTTTGCTTGGTATGTGTCAGAGCAGGACCCAGGGAGCAGGGAGCAGAGAGAGGCTGGTGGCAGGCACAGGAATAAGGCAGTGGTAGGAAGGAGACCGCTGGATGGCAGCAGGACAGAAGAGCTGGAGGACAAGCAACCAGCTTGACCGAAACAGCCCTAAGGGTGAGGGTTAACAGGAGGAAAGGAGGTGAGATTGCAGTACACAGGGGGAGATGGAGGAAAGCACGAGCAGGGCATGAACCCTCCTTTGGGATGACTGGGAGATGATGGAGCTGAAGAGGGCTTGGATGCCCGAGGGAAGGTCCAGGAGCACAGGAATCACAAAGCACCACATGTATTAGCTGGGATGAACGACAGCAAACTCCCGGAGAGCCCAGAGCTCCCCAAAGGGAGAAGGACAGGCTCTTACCCTGGTGTTCGTTACCAGCAGGTCCCGCACTGTGTAGCTCTCACACTCCTCCTCTTTTTTCAGCTCCACGGTGATGTCTCCATAGGACACCGAGCCATCAGAAGGCCAGTACTGGGCACACTTCTCCTGAGAAAGCGTACAAGAGGACACAGGGTGAAGAACTTCGTTTTCCTCCTGGCTTTAGTGGAAGGAGGCTTCTCCTGGAGTTGGCAGCCTCCCAAAGCCACAGGGAATTACAAGGCTTCAGAGAGGAGCTGTGAGGCACCAGCTTGCTGTAGGAGAGGTGCTGCCCTTCCAGCGATGCCACACCAGGTACCACTATTTAGTTTTGGAGCTGCTTTGAGAACTGAGGGTCTAAAGTTGTTTTTTTTTTAACTCCTCTGCTCTGGATCTACAAGCATCTGGATTCTTTGCATTAGAATTAGAGGCTGAAATTCCCTTCCGGTGTGTATTTGCCAGAGGAAGGGTGAAAGAGCCACACAATGTGTGCGGTGCTGGCAGGCTGCAAGGCACTGGCAACAGCACCGGGGCCATCTGGAGACTTAAGAGTTTGTACCGATTTCCTTCACGGGTGCTGAACAGCCTCACTAGCTGCAGGGATGCCTCGGGCGCTTACCTGGCCTCTCTCTTCCAGCTCTGTTAACATAACTATGGAGCAGGATTTCCACTCCCAGATCATCCTCCAGAAGTCCTCTATCGTGTGCTGAAGCGGTCCCTGGCTGGCAATATAGGAGTCCTTCTGGCGATAACCCTGCAATTGCAAACCGCGGTTACCAGCGCGACAGCAGCACCGCGATGCTGGCAGCACCTGAAGGCAGCACTGTGCTGCCTGATGCAAAGCGTGCGTGCGGGCGCTTCGGCCCCAGAAAGCCCAGCGCCTTCGCAGAAAACGCAGGCAAACACACGGAAAGGTGGGAACGACACGTCTCCTGTTCCCCGAGCCCCATGCCCTGCTCCTGCACGCCGGGCGAAGAGGCTGGTGTCTCCAGGCTGCTCATCACGGCTCGTCCGCTCCCTCGGTTAACCGCACACTTGGCTCAACCAGCTGCGTTGGTGGCGACCAGCAAAGGGCAATAATCTCTCTGCTGCCAACAGACACGTCCAGACGCTCTTGGACGCGGCCAAATTAGCGCAGCTGAGTTAATCCTTGGAGCACTGCAACTGTTCATGTGAACTATCTCAGCCTGGGCAGAGAAATCCACCTTGGCTGGACCTGCTCTCACAGAGGGCTCGGCTAAGTCCCTGCATATGGACATCGACACATCAGCCGAGATGCCATAACGCAGCATTTTATCATGGTAAGAACTGTTTCTGAAGAAACGCAGCTACAGTGGGATCATATTCCCTCTATGCCTTACCCATTTGGTAAAGATAGATCTGGGTTTCCAGTGCTCCTACTCCTAAAAGAAGTTGCAAAGGCTGAGTTTTGCAGAAGGGCTAGCAATCGTGCCTAAGCTCTGGAGACTACATCTGCAACTTTTACAGGGGTTTTTTGGAAGAAGCGAGCAAAAATATGCCCTGTAGTAAGTCCGGGTGACTCTGGCTGTTCCACAACCCAGAGACGCTCCTGTTCCAAAGAATGAAAACTTCCAATATTCCCCTGTGCCCTCACAGCAAACTATGGCTAAAGATGCTTCGTCATTTGGAGCTTGTCATTTAAGCAAAGTTCAGCAGAGGCAGGAAATTGAATCTTCAACAGAATTGCTTACGTGACATTTAAGCTTTTGGAGCTAGATTTGGAACAACAAGGCTGCCAGGCTGGAGGGCTGCTCAAATTTGTTTTATTTGAAGCTGAAGCAGCCAGCGTGCAGACACACCAACCAGTGGGGACCAGCCAATGCGGTTTCAGGGAGCAGTTAATTTGGGATGTCATGGCTGGGAATACACTGGTTTCACTAGTTCAACCTATTGCACTAACGGTCCTTTTGGAAAAATACCTGCCATTAGGAGAAGAAAACAGGATTTGGGCTAGAGGAGAGCAGGGTTCTTTGTCACTTATTCAGCACCGGCATCACTGCACAAAGATAAATACTCAGAGGAGATGTTCCCCTGAAGTCAACAGGATTACTCACGAGCAGAGGATGTGCAACACACCTCGGAGTGAGGAAAGCACTTAACCTCGCTGCCTCATTTCCTCTGCTCAGCAAGACAGGTATAATAGGATTGACCTGTTTTTTCTCAAGGGTTTTGAGATCCGTGTATGGCTCCGTTACCTAATCTAGGGGATGTTTTCTGACCAAATGAACAGTGCCAGAAAGCAATCAGTTCTCTGGCTACATGTGCCCTTTTCTCCAAAACTTTCATCAAAACTTGAGAGTTGCAGCAATGAGACCAGGATTTAGACGACCAGTTCAGGCTCCAACTTTCCTCTCCTAGGTCTCTTTGGGTTGGAAGACTGGAAGCTCTCAGCAAAACTCCTGTCCGCAAGCTTTGTTTGAGACAAACCAGCAACAGCCATTGACATGAAGCAAAGTCAAGTGGAAAGAGGCTTATGAGACCTAGAGAGGAAGCGTTTCAGGGCTAGACAAATCCTTCTCATAGGAAGCAGTGTGAGGTAAAGAGTTTCCAGTGGAGGAGTATGAAAAGAAGATAAAAAATACTCACATCAATGAAGGAAGCATTTACATAGTCCGTATTCTCTTCACCTCTCTTCACTGGAATGATTACTCGGTTGAACTCATCTAAAACAGAAGCAAATAGATCAGAGTTTTGGGGGACGCTTTCAAAGCACAACTCCTTGCAAACCATGTGCGGTCATCAGTTGGAAAGTCCCCAAGGTGAGAAGCCAGAGAGATATGGGAAGGGGAACCCTGCGTTTACAGCATCAGTCTGGGATGAGGAGACTCAGCTCTGGCTTCTGCCACGGTTCAGGGAGGCCAGGGCAGGTGAGAAGGGGATGTTGAGGGGATGTTGACTCAAGGGGCAAAAACCTGCTCAACCTAGAAGCTATCTTTCCCCTTGAGGCAGAAGGCCTTGGGGAGTATAAACCTGCAAAGAAGAAAGCCATGACAGAAACAGGACAAAACAAAAGCAAGAGCTACAAGAAAGCCCAGGAGTGGTTTTAAGTTTGTTCATGAAAAAGCACCTAACTGGAAAAACCAAAAGGTTGAAAAAGAAAGAGAAAACTGAGGAGAAAAGCCCTCTCACCACACCTACTCTCAACGTTCACCCTAACCTGCTGAGTGTGCTTTTGCCCAGACAGACAAGCAGCCCTTACATGGAATTATCTGAAGCACCCTGTTTTTCTTCATGTTTGCTGGCAAGTTGCCCGTTCTCATCTTGTCGTTCTGAATTTTGATTGAAGTTAGTTTCTGCAGAGGAAGGAACAAAAGAAGTAACAGCTTCCACAGTCATCAAAAGCAAGCTGAGCGAACCCACGGAAAAGTCCTACAGCAATGGGAGAGCTCGTGACGGTGATGGGACCTAGGAATCTGTGCAAAACCTGCTGTTCAGGACAGACTTTGATGCAACATTCATTAGGTTTTCTTTTCAGAAGGGCACAGAACCAGCTTCCCTTCAGCATACGCACCTTGAACTCTTCCTCCAGCCCGTTACTGCTGGTCCCTGGCACTTTGTTGTAGATTTTCTGGAGGTGGATTTCTAATGAAGTCACTTCCAGCTCTGTGTCACCATAGAGATAGTGCTCCAGAAGTGCTTGGTATATAAACACATACTGCATCTGGAAGAGGGGCAGGGAGAAACCATCAGCTTTTGCTCCATGCTCCACTCCACTTACTATCCGTATCACAGTATGGGCGCACACGTGGGCTGCAAACCCACAGCCCATGCACGTAACACAAGCGGTCATTGAGCACACAGCACGTGTGTAAGACCCCAGTGCTCTCCAGGAAAGCGGGCAACAACGTTTCTGCCCTTCCAAAGGGACTGAGACCTTATTTGCTACATGGTCTGGGAGACCTGGAGGAACTTCACACAGAGCTGAAGGGGAAACCAGTGATTAAAAAGAGCGTGTGAAGGTCTGCCGAGTGTGGGGGACTGACTGCGCCACGAAATACAAAGCTACTGCGAGCAAAGTCTAAACAAAGCCAAACTTACATCTGTCTGTACCATCTGGCAGCGCTGAGCCCGGATCCGGCTCACGAAGCCGTAAACATCCACCTTCCTCTCGGCATGCATCATGTCCAGCATGGCATCGATGACTATAAAAGTGCCTGTGCGTCCTACCCCAGCGCTGAAACGTCAGAGGGAACAAGCAGTCAGTGTGAGCAGCGTTGGAGTTCGGTCTCTTCCGGTGCTGCTGGGAGCGAGCCAGGCACTGCAACACAACCCAGGCCAGGGAACGCAGCACTTCCCAGCAAACAGTAACATCTATTTCGGAGAAGAGAGAGGCTTCTCAGCCTCTTTTTTAACCCCTTGGGTTTTGCAAAGAGATGCATATAATTCTGCGTTCCAGCAACTATCTTGATCCGAGTGCACGAAGGCACAGAGCTGGGGTAACTCCACGCAAAACCTAAGCCAATGATGGCCTGTTCCTGCCAGCTGCCCCCTGCTCCTTCCAGCCACCCTCCGTCACATGAAGGTGAGCCCATAGCAAAAGCCTTTTTTCTGTGCTGGTAACTCAACTGCTAAGGAGAGATGAAGAAATAAGAAAGATGAGGCTAGTAGATGCTACTGAAAGACAAAGCTCTGTTGCCAATTGCCTTCTGAGAAGGAAGCTGGAAAGCTGGGACTTGGGAGGTCCCAGACATGGTTACCATCTCTGCCATTAGCTCAGGGACTTTCTTTTACTCAAGCACAAATAGAGCGAAAGCAACGCAGGGCACCTCCTAGTATCTGACAAAGAAGTGACAATCCTTTAGATTCAAGTTCGGGGAGTTGACTTGAGAGAGTCCCATTGACAGCGCAGGCTACAGCGAGCGGGAAAAACTTCTGCGTGATGCTGCACAAGAAGGACTTAGCGAGTGTCCTTGGGTCAAACCGTTCCGCAGCCTGCAATACTGGCTACGGTGCTTTGCGGCAGAAGGCAGGGCACGCGGGGTCTGCGGCGAGCCTGGCGGATGAAAGGGGCTGCGAGGCGGTCAGCCTTGCCGTCATCAGGGCTCGTGAGCAAAACACGAGAACACAGATCAGTGCTCTGCTGCTGAGCGAGCCCGAGCGCGTCACGGTGCTGCGACTCAGCTTCTGCAGAAGCGCGAGATGCAAACGCAGCGAGCTACACACAGCTGCTAGACAAGCGACACTGTCAAAGGCCTCCCGCGGTTCCCCAGGCCTACTGCGCTGTCTGAAACTCACTCCACAAGAGTTCAAAGGCTCCAGTCCCATCTCCCGTGCAAGCTGTGAGCTGAGCAGGGGCTTGCTGTAACAACGGTTGGTGCCCTCTTGCGCCCGGCCCAGCAGAGAGCCAAGCGGGCTGTCACCAGTGCACAGCAGTGGCTTTAAGCTTAGCTCACTCTGAACTGAGCTAAGCCAAATGAAAACTGCCTTGACTCCAAGTCCACACGAGCTGTAACACCATCGCATCCCTGATTCCAGCTTCATTCAGAGGAATTTGGGTGTTAGAGAGAAGATGCTTTCCCTGCAACGCAGGAGAGGCAGAGAGGGCTAGCCGCCCCCGGGACTTACCTGCAGTGCACCACTATTGCTCCTGCATATTGGGGGTTACATGTCTTCACCTTCTTCAAGAACTTCAGCATCCCAATAGGGGTGAAGGGGACCCCGAAGTCAGGCCAGCTGGTGAAGTGGAACTGAGTCACCAGGCGCTGCGGCTTCTTGTTTGTGACGTCCCCTACCTGGAAAGCAGCCGTGTATCCCGATTAACGACAGAAACTTAGATTCATCTCCTTTCCCCTAAACCCAGAGACGGGAGGGAGCTACAGCCCCAAAACTGAACTCTAAGGCTTAAGCAACACTAACGTCCACGGCCTAGCAGTGTGTGGACCAGGACTCGGGGACCACATTAAGCTCTAAAAACATGACATTTTAACTGCTCGGTACCATATCTTGCATCCTGTGGATGCTGCCAAACACCAGAGAAGTGCCCTGCTCGTACTGAGCGTATGGCAACCTCTGTGACAAGAGCAGCAGCTTATGAAGTGTGCCTGCATGGAGGTCAACTGGGCTAGGCTAACTTCTGCTCGCTGAGCCCGTGTCTTTTAGAGCTCCTAGAGAAAGGGACAAGATGGGCCTCCCTGTTCTCCTCTGGGACTAACTGCTGTCCTGTTCCCTGCGCCCAACAAGGTGGCTGATGAGAGAGGGGCCAAGCCCAGCCTCGGCTGCTGCGGGTCCACCCAGAGGACTCCAATCTGGCAGGAGCTCCTGTAGTTCATCCCCGACGTGCCCTCGGAAGTCGCTCGGTTCACACAGAAGCCTTCACTCATTCATTTCCTCGAGGCGCATTTCTCACACCTCTGCTGATCGCAGCTTTGTGTGAAAGGGAGGAGAGTAAACAACCTCCGCGCACAGATGTGAAAGCAAAGTGCGAGGTTCAGGAGATCCCGGCTCAACGTCTAGTTCGGTTCTCAATCGAGGCGCCCGGTCTCCTACGCGTCAGCTCTTTGTTGCCTGCCTCACAGCGCATTAGGAAAATAAACAGAGTGACTAAAACATCCAGAGTCTCGGAGGAGGAAAAATGTAGCGACAGATGGGGAAGTAATTAAAACCAAGGCAGACGGCACTTGATTTTGTCTCAGCTCATGAGATAAATCTGCCTTATTGCTCAGCCCAGGGAGCCAGGCACTACGTGGCTACGGGTGAGTACCCACGTCCCTTGCGGGCAGGTGCCCACCCCATTTCCACTACGGCACTGGTAAGAGCAAGCCCTGCAGTATTACGGGACTGAATTTCAGACCTGCTATAAATCAGCTTTGCTGCTTTCAAGACAGTGATGTCAGGTGTTTAAGCTAAGTCAAATCTTAAATAGCTCTGGTGAAAATGGAGACATGGATGCTGTGGTCACTGATCCAAACGCTGCAGGGGGCAGCGGCTCTCCCTGAACTTCTTTATATGTAAGGAACTGTATTTCCTTGATGGCCTCCTTACTTCTTTTGCCCTCCACATGCACTTCTGAAGAGCCACCAAGAGCATCCTAGGGCAACGTGAAAGTTAGGGGACCCTGGCAGGGCCTCCGGGATGCAAAATGTGAGATCGAAGGCTTGGGACAGGAGACGGGGACCACAGTACCTGCTGAATGCAGAATTTCCGCACTGTGTAATCAACCAAGACGGTCACATCTTCCACAGACACCCGGATGTTTCCGTATGTCCAGCAGCCCTGATCTGGCCAGTACTGAGCACACTTACACTAGGGAGAAAGAAAACCACACAGGTGAGGCCTAGCATCTCGAAAGTCCCAGCTGAAGCTTGTCCCAGGTGGCTGGGACGTGGCCTCCCAGCCAGCCACGGTGCCCTGGGAAGCCCAGCTCCCGGCACACCATGTCTACAGTTGGGAAACTCGATGTTGAGAGAGCGGAAACGTGGCACAGTTAAATGCACCGTGCAAAATGCCCAGTTGGTGCCAACCGGAGCTACAAAAGCAACTTGCTGCACAGACTAAAATGCACCCGTTGAAGTTCTGGCTCCCTCCTGTCGCTGCTAAAGCCAAGGAAAATTGGGCTAAAAGCTCTGCTGGAAACAGGTCAGGCCTGCCCTGCGCTCGGGGTTTGTGTCTGTCGCATGCGCTGGGCTCCTAGGAACTTTGCACAAATGTATACATACGTTACACACTGAGATCTATAATTAGGAGGTTACTAGGGCCTCACCAAATTACCTTAGAACATAAGACCTATTTTCCAGTCTTGCTTTCGCAAGCAAGACCGGTGCTGGGTGTATTTGGGCCCAACCTCTGCCTCCATGCAAACTACGCCCAGGTAGAAACCTGCCCCGAAAGCGTTTCGCCACCTACCTCCTTCCTCTCTTTCAGGTTGGTCACCATGACAATTGTGGCTGTGTTTTGCTCCCAAATCATTCTCCAGAAATCATTCACTGTTTCTTCTTTTGGTCCTAAACGGCAGGCAAACAGATGTGGGCTTTAGGAGAAGACATCAACCAGGCAAGTGCTGGTAAGATATCAAGTGCTGGGTCTAAAACCCACCCGGACGGCAGCGGGAGAAATACCGTGCTGTCAACGATGCAACAATTTTTTTGCCAACAGGTGTCAGCACAGGACGCGTTTTGGTATCTGGGAATGTCGGCTATCCCAAAGAACAGCCCTATCACACAATAGCAGGGTTTTTAAAGGGACTGGATATATTTTATGATCAGGAATTCCATTTTTAGCACCAGAAGGGGAAATCAGACAAACAGAGCATGGAAACGAGCTTGCCCAAGGTCAACCAGGGAAACTGCGGCAGTCACAAATAGCACTCTCAAGTCCAGTCCCCAAGTCCTGTGCTTTAACCGCAAGATCCTATTTAAACACGGCACAGGAATAGTTATTTACTGCCTGCCAGACAAGGAGCTGACTCAACCTAACCGTTCCCTGCCAAGCCTGAGCCTGAGGGCGAGCCAGAAGAAAAACCCCAACGAAAGCTTTACCCCAGCCGGGTATTGGTGGAGGACGAGATCCAGCCTTCGGCCTCCAACAAGAGCTAGGGAAAGGGGAAGGCGATTTCCAGGCGTGTGAACTGTCGGTGGCCCAGCAGGGTTGTTGCAGCAGCCGATGAGCGGCAACACCTTAGCAACACCCTCCACCGCTGCCCGTGCAAGTTGGAAGAGCAAAGCATCTCCTGCGTTCCTATCAGCCCCTATTTCCGGCATGAACCTCCTGCCACTCGACACAGTGATTTTGGAGGCCCAGGTTGACAGTCAGGCTCCCAGCACATGGAAACCAAGAGCACCGGAGGGCTACAGATGGCGTTTGCAAGCCCGTGTTCCTTGGCTCGCACTCCATAACTCCACTTTATTACGGATATTTAATTAAGTGACTACCTGGCAGTACTTTCAGAGAGCACCACCACCACCTGCAGCCGCGATTCGGGCTGGAAAGGCAATGTGGTGGGGCATGGGCTGATACGCTGGCGAGCCCAGGGAAGAGACCCTCGGACAGCCTCCAGCCACCAGCATTTCAGAGACAGGAGGTTGTCTTCCTTCGCCAACGCATCCAGCGCTGCTCTTTGATGGGAATACAGGAAAAGCCACATTGGGAACAACCCAGGGACCAGACAAGCCTCCTTGCATTTTGACCCGGCGACAGCGGCAAGACCACGAGGACCACTCGCATGACGCAGAGCAACTAGAAAACCGGAGAGCTCACCTTGTGCAGCAATGAACTTGTTTTTCTCTTGGTACCCCTACACAAAACAGAAGGAAGGAAAATGAAGGATGAGTATTTCTCTGAGACAAGAGTCATGAAGCGTTGCTACATCATTAATAAACTGAGATGTTGCCCGCTCGGACGCTCGCCGCGGTGCAGAGGACCGGCTGCAGGCTCTGCAGGGGGGAACAGCGCTGAGAGCGTGGCAAAATTAATGGAAAATCCCTGAGCGCAGACACCTTCCCCTGGAGCAAGGCGGCCCGCGCTCGTCTGCTCTGGGAACGGGCACAGAGCACTAACGAGGCGGTATCCGCTCACCCCGCCGCTGGGATCAGACACGGCACCCGCAGCATCACGTGAAAATCAGCGCTCATCTCAGGGAAATAAGGGTTGCTGAACTCCCAGGAGTTTCTTTTATTTCCTAATGGCAAAATATATATATTGCTGAAGTAAGTAAAAAGCTCTTTGGGGTCTCGCTTCTCCTCCTGTGCCTCTCTCTCTCTCTCTCTCTCAACGTCTACTTTTTCATGTTACCTTTCCCACTGTGATTCCCGCTGGAGCTGTATTACCACCTACAGCCCGTCCCCACCATCATTTGCAGTTCTGCCCGGCTAGGTGTTGTGTGCACGCAGGGTAAAACCCCAGAATGAGTTATCTGCTGCTTATTATCTCTGATTTACTCATGGGGCAGAGGCAGAGCGATGTTTAGGGAAATGCCCAAAGCCATACAGTGAGCCTGTGCAGAAGGATCTCCCCAGCCCCAGGCCAGCGCTGTACCCACCCTCTCTGCCTCATAGGCAAATCTGTCTCCTGAGGAACAGCATGCTCATTAATAAAAACCAGGATTTTGTATCAATATGAGGACTAGAAAGTCAAGTTTAAATGAAATAAAAGGGAGAAGTCAAGCTACATCCTTTCTCCTTAAGAAATCAAATTCACTTGCAAAAGGCGTGCTCCTTACTGCATTCGTAGGTGGCAAAACTCCTGCTGACTGCTAAGAGCAGAGGCGGCCAAGGTTGCTCTGCTCCTAAGGACGTTTTAGCTAGGTTGCTTGATTTCTTTTTCACGCCCTTCATACCCCATCTGTGGAAATTGGGAACTTCCAACGATTAATCAGCCACACCATTAATCAGTCATTAATCAGAAGTCTTCTACTCATCCAGGACGGGCTACCAAATCCCTTCTAAACCTGCAGGCTTGGCTTTGCAACACCGCAAGGAGCCTAAGTGCATTTTCGTTATTTTAGAAGTGGGAAAAAAGGGAGGTGTGAAGAGATGTGACCGTGGCAAAGCAGCTGAGCAATGGCAGAGCTACAAACAGAATTTATTAGCCCTGGCTCTCAGCCTCTTACTCGAATCGCCGGGCCACGTTCATTGGGGGTCAGGAAGCAGAGCGGGAAACAGTGAGCTCCACCGCAGCTATATAAATGCTACCAGATAAGAAAAAAGCATAGTCTACTCCTCCAGAGAAGCTAGGGAGACATTAACAAAGAAAGTTGTTTCTGTACGATCCTTTTCCAGACAAAAGTCACACCCCGTAAAAGCCACACACGCAGAGCGAGCCAGGCTTCTGGTGAAACCAGCCACGGTGGCACGAGGCCCACCAGCTGGGGATTTGCCCATCAAAGCACCCGAGAGCTTACGTTAATGAAGGAGGCGTTAATGTAGTCAGAATCGGGAACCCCCTCCACGGGCGTCAGATGAACCCTGGAATGATCGTCTGGAGGAAAAGGAAAATTAGGCATTAAAAAACAAAACCCGTGAAACGCGGCATACCAAGAGAGCCACATACTGTTTTGGGTTCCCAGGCTTGGTAGATCCCCAAAGATCGGCTTCGCCGCACCCGTAAAGGACTTTATGCCCCCAAACTCTTCCGGGCTTAAGTCCAGCGAAGCGCTAAACCTCACACAGCGAAGCTTTTCAGCCGCACAGCGCCTACATTTGAGGAACTCCGAGTCGGCAGTGCGAAGCCTCCGAGCCCCCAGCTCCGCAAATATCCTGCGGAGGAGCCGTACGCGGCTCAGCAAGAGCTGCCGGCTTGGGCATTTTT